CTCAAGGATGTGTTCCAATAAAACATAATTTTTTAGTGACTACAAATGGTAAATGGGCTGCCTGAGGGGCTTCACACTTGCCTATAGGCTTACAAAGTAGCTGTGGATTCACTCCACAGCTGCTACTCTGTAGCTTCGGGGCTGCAGTAGCCATGGTAACTGTTCAAAAATTCTCCCCGCTTCGGGGGGCTGATGGAAACCGCTTCGGGGGCTGATAGAAAGCCCTCAAATCAGTGTCCAGTGGAGATTGATGAGAGGTGGTGTGCGGGCTGGAATGAGAAACCTCCACTCCCCACTCCCATGTGGACCACAGAGAAAGTCTAGCTGGTAGGTGCAGAGGAAGCCAAAGTAGAGGCCTTTGATCCTTTGGCCATTAAGCAGGATGATCAGATGTCCTGATTTTATAGGGAGACTCCAGATATCTGGGGGTTTGTATTTAAATGGGGGCCTATTCTCCCATCCTGATTTTTCCACTTGCAATCTGGTCATACTACCATTAAGAAAATTTAATGGAGGCTTGCTTCGATTTCCTTGGCCCTATGCTGATTGGCTATTTGCTCCAGCCCTCCCTAGCTCTAGCCCCTAACCAACTCTCTAACCTCTGTTTGTCTGGAAATGGGCGACAGGGGACGGATCACGGAAGGATTACCTGTTGTGTTCTCTCCCTCTGGGGCATCTGGTATTGGCCTCTGTCGGCAGACAGGATACCGGGCTGGATGAACCATTGGTCTGACCCAGTGTGGCCATTCTTATGTTCAGTCTCTTCATCTCAATTTCACTGTACGTGTGTCCCTCTTACCCTGCCCTTCCCCCTAGCCTCCTTTCCTTATCTTCCTAAATAACAATATACTGACTCGCTCTCCTTCTCCCGAATCCCCCCTTCCCCGCAAAAGCTGTGGAACTAACTTGCCATTTCCTGTAATCCCAGAGCTCACTTTGTAAGATCCTTCAACAGTCCAGGACTGCTCCAGCCTGAGCCCCATCATACATATCAACGCCCTGACTCCTGAACCCGTCCACACACCCCAACCTGCTGTGTTCAGTCCCTCCTCATCCCCCACATTCCCAGCCCCCTGCATTTAGCCCCCTACACTGCTTGGCCAGAGACCCCTGAACTCTACCACACACATTTCTAACAGATATTATAGTATCACAACCCCATCAACCCCTGCCTTGAACTCTCCCCTCCATCCCCTGTGAGAAATTTAGGTTACTTGCACCCCTAGGCACTATCACAATAAAGATGTTGAGTTAGCATTTCTTTCCAGTTGTCATCTCCAATAGTCTGTCCTGACCCCACTACCCTCATCTATAATACATTTCAATCACAGCTCCGTAGTACCTGAGGATTTTGCATACTCCTCTATGGCAGTGCTTAATTTGTGCCAGGCTTGAGTCTCAGCACCTCTATGCTTGGCAGCTCATAGCCCTGACCCCTCAGGGCTTGCTATGTCAGTTGTGAAAGTTTTAAAAAAATTGCTTGAGCCCTGGCACCTCTTTCATTACAAATTAAGCACTGTTCAATGGCCTATTGGTCATGAACAAAAGGCTCAGAGCAAAGCTCAAAGGAATTAAAGAGTTATTAAAGATAACAAATGATATATTCCTTTGTCAGCAATTCATTTAACAGGTGCAGATAACAAAGGAGAAGAAACAGTATGGAATTGTGAATAATGAGCCTGTTAATAGTCAATGCCTTTGTCAGACATGCTTATAAGTGAACTAGGTTCTAAAGGAAAACTTCGCATTAACATTATTAATGGTGGTTTGTGAATACCTCTGCACTAATTGTGTCACTATTCCAACAATGTACTTAACTTTCAGCCTATGGCATTGAAGCACTCATAGACTCATAGACTTTAAGGTCAGAAGGGACCATTATGATCATCTAGTCTGACCCCCTGCACAGTGCAGGCCACAGAATCTCAACCACCCCTCTTAGAATAATCCTCTCACCTATATCAAAGATATTGAAGCATTCAAATACTTTGAAGGACCCAACATGCAGAGAGTCCTTCAGCTGTAATCTGTGCCCAATGCTACAGAGTAAGGCGAAAAACCTCCAGGGCCTCTGCCAATCTACCCTGGAGGAAAATTCCTTCCCGACCCCAAATATGGCGATCAGCTAAACCCTGAGCATGTGGGCAAGACTCACCAGACAGACACCCAGAAAAAAGTTCTCTACAGTAACTCCTATCATCCCTCCATTGACCTATTTCCAACTGATAATGAATGGTCAATTAGTTACCAAGATCATGTTATTTCATCCAACCATCCCCTTATAGAATCATAGAACTGGAAGAGACCCCAGAAGGTCGTCAAGTCCAGCCCCCCACTCTAGGCAGGACCAATCCCATCTAAATCAACCCGGCCAGGGCTTTGTCAAGCCGAGACTTAAATACCTCTAGGGATGGAGACTCCACTACTTCCCTAGGTAACCCATTCCAATGCTTCACTACCCTTCTAGTAAAATAGTTTTTCCTAATATCCAATCTGGACCTCTCCCACCACAACTTGAGACCATTGCTCCTTGTTCTGCCATCTGTCACTACTGAGAACAGCCTCTCTCCATCCTCTTTGGAACCTCCCTTCAGGAAGTTGAAGGCTGCTATCAAATCCCCCCTCACTCTTCGCTTCTGCAGACTAAACAGACCCAAGTCCCTCAGCCTCTCCTCGTAGGTCATATGCTCCAGCCCCCTAATCATTTGTCAGCACAGCCACGTACGTATGAATTTGGGGGAAGACCACACCCAAGGTGGGGTGAGCGTACCTGTCTCCCTTGTGCTGTACACGTGCAATTCCGTGCTTTGTTCTCCCCAATCCCTGTCTCTAGGTTTGCCTTCAGTTGTATGACTCAGTGGCCAGAATCACTGAACTCACCTCAAGTCACAGAGCAGAATGGCCTTCTGGCCAGAGTCACTAAACTTGTTTCAAGTTGTAGGGCAGTGCAGTTCTATGGTTAGAATCAGGAGACAGGGATGGGGGTTACATCCCTCAGCAGGAGGTTACAGGCCTCTCCACTGGGCCTCAACCCAGGGCCCTACTACTGGTTGTAGTTCCAACCAGTGAGACAGCAGAGAAAATCTCCTACTGAAACACACTGACTCCCTGGCATTGACTCACTTACCAGTTAGTTGTTGCCTTCCCCTGGACTACTTCCTGCTGCCATCCCCACAGATGTGGTACAAGCCTCCATTTCACCTCCCTGATCTGAGGTCTGCCCCCTCCTTGGTGTTTCTGAACTCCGTGGAGCCTCAAAGCCTTCAGCCAGATTTGCATTGTCTCTGTGCCTGGGTTTCTACAATAGCTTGCTTGGAGTAGGCAGTACACATCTTTCCCCTTCTAGGAATAAGCCCCCAAGTGAGCTGAGCTGTTCCCTTTTATACCTGGAACATGCCCAGTACAGTGGAAGGGGTGTGGGTTTCTTAGCCCTCAGTGCAGGGTTAAAACCCTCTCACCCAGTACAGGGTGAGTGTACCCCATCACAAGTGACCAAAGGCATATGGCATGGGGAAAGTAAAGCGGAACTTACATGAATGAAACTATGTGGTGCAAGAGAAAAGACATCATCATGGAAAGAGATGCCTGAGGATTTTTTCTTAGTGTAGGTTCTCTTATTGACTGACACATTGGGGATCCTTGGGTAAGTAATTTCACTTCTGTGCCTCAAACTCCTTGGAAGCAAAATGGGAATGTAAAAACTTAACTTTCTTTGTAAAGAAAATTGCTTTTATACTAAGCTTTTCATTTGTACACCCAAGTATGACTACTATTATCATCTAAGCTAAAGTGGAATCCCCATTAGGCCGACAGATTCCATGGATCCCTGAGCAAGGTGTGTGTGTGTGGGCGGGAGGGGTAGCTATGTACCACCAGAAAGGGTGGGGCCTCACGTGAAAGAGTCAGGACAGAGTCAGCTGACCCTCTCTCCTCCAGCCCTCAGAGTCAAGCCGAGCATGCAGTGTGGTGCACTGGTGGAAATTTAAAGGGGGCAGCTACGATGGCCAGGTGCCTGAGCCCCTTTGAAACTCCAGGCCCTGGGGCAAATGCCCCCTTTGCTGCCCCCCTCCATCAGCAAGCCTGTTAGCTAGTAATAGCATTAAAACGAATGGGTCAGATACTCAGTGGATGCAAAGCTATATTGACTCTAACACTAACTACTTCATTTGTCTTTAATGGCCAAATTATATAGGATGAAACAACAACAAGCTCTTACACTGATAAGTGGATCTGGATACATCCAATACAAGAAAGCTATGCACATAAACAAAAGCCATAGTTACACTATGGTCTTAGATTTTAATCAATGATGATCAAATCTCAAAATGTTTCATGATTGAATGTTTCTAACTCTTGCTTTATTGTGCATCTCATGTTAATTGGGGATTTTCTTTAAGCCAAAGTTCTGGGTGAGCACTAATTTAAAAAAAAAACATATACTAACCCCAAGTATTCAAAACTAATAACAGGCCCCATAAAATCTTGAGGGTTATGAAAGTAAAAGGCAATACAATATTTGGTTCTTTTAATTTACACTCAGGTTTTTGAGTGTTTAAGATGCCCCTTTTCAAAACTTTACTCTGTATCTATGAGGGTTAGAAACTTTTATCCTCAATGAAAGCCCCAAAGGCAGCCAGGAAGATTAACAGAACGATGGTTCAAAGAACAAAAGGCAAATTTAAAATCCCAATGTTTATTGTTTTAAAAATCTCACATTTTTTAAATTAATCTCTTTTCTAAGGGTCTGACTCATTGATCACATGGCTTTGGTAAAACTGGCTTCAGTTTTCATCAATACCTCAAATTTTAGTTGTTCATCCAAACTATCCATATTTATTGAACTGAACTGATCCCTGGGGGTATGCCAATGGGTTTTACTGTAATTATGTACAGATTTAATTTGGTTCCTTAAATATTTACTGTTGGACTGAAATGGATATTTGAAGAAATGAGATTTCCCTCCGAGTTTTATGTGATTTTGTGATTCTTTTTTTCCTCAGAAATATCACAAGAAGTATCTCTACCAACAAGTTAAGGTATTTCAGAATTCAGGCAAAGCCTAGAAGTAGAAGCATGTGATAATAAAAACAGTAAAAAATGAAAACAACAAGAAAACAACAACAAAAACCAAGGTAACATAACCTATCTTGAGAACAACACAGATTTACTCAAAATGAATATGGGCTAAAGTAGGACAAGATTTGGGTTATTTACTACTTCCCATTCCAAATCAGTTCATACATCCCCAAATTTATCTGTATTTTAAAAAGAATAATAGCACCGTGGAACATACAGCTATTCATTTTCTTACCTCTTCTTCATATACAGCTCGAATAAACCTCAAGAATAAATGGAAAAAAGAAACAGGAATCTGAAGATTAATGCTACTCCTAAGCCATTTGCAAATTTCATCCCACACAACTAAACATTGTACCCATAGGCAAATTTGGATTATTATATGCATATTGAAATAGTCATTTCTTTTGTGCTTTGCTTTGTTTTTTTTCCAAAGTAGCATTGCTTTTAGTTTGAATTCAAGTGTGCTGTAGTTATTTTCAATTCTGCAACCTATCAAATCCCCTAGGAGACTTATTGCAATACCAATAATAATATTGGTTATCGTCCTAGAATTTCAACATTTCAATGAAATTAGTCTTCTAAGATTGTTATCGAGCAAATGCCCTCAGTGAATGATTTTGTATCAAGAATCAATAAAACAATTAAAGACGTGGCTGTCTTTGTATGGTTTTTTTCTAAAATAAGAGTTTAATTTCTAAAATATGACCATCAAATAC